CCCCCCCCCCCCCCCCTGCAAAGTCTGGCAGCTGGAATAATTTACAGGACAGGTTCCCACAGAGGGGTCAGCACAAGGAACAAGCCCAGTCTCTATATGGGGCTACTGCTGCGTCACTTTTAGAGAATATCCTTTTGAATCCTGATGCTCAGTTTAACCTGAAAGCATGTTAAAGCAGAGGCATGGCCTGTAACAGTTTAGTCCAACCGTGTCCATAATGCTGACCAGCAGGGCGGACTTTCAGAGCAGCTGCTCTTCCTCTCCTTCCTCCCAGCTGGAGGACTGTGTGCATTTGGTCGAGTCCTGTAAGTAGCTGCAGTCCCAGTGCCTTACGTGGAAGCTTGCCAACTTAGCCCTGGGTTCTGGCTAAGTCTTCAGGAGACAGCTGAGCCTTATTAGGCCACCCCTGATAAGGCATGCCAATTCAGTCATGTACAGAAATGTTTCATTAGCAGGATTTGTGTGGCAAGGTCTCCGAAGCTACCACTTGCTATTATGCACTGAAGATGTGGGCAGGCTAGAACAGATCACTGGATTATCACCTGTGGTGGCCTGCCCCTAGCAGGGGCCAGCTCTGCACAAGCAGCAGCTCCAGAGAGGGAAAGCCCTAGTGATGGGCTGGGATTAACTACTACAACTACGGTGGCTTCGCAGAGTCTTACTGATTAACTTTGCTGTGGAGCAAGAGAACTGACAGGCTCATGTCACAGAACTTCAGTTTGGTTTTTTTTTGTTTTTTTGGCTGTATCATACTAAACTCCCACTGTGTTACTGTCATCAAATCATGTGGCAGTTAGTGCTGCAGACGAGTGGAGGCTAACAGAAGATGACTTCTTATTAGATTGAAATTCATTCCTTTCTCTTCCCTTTTGGTTCCTGTTTAATCAGCTAAAATGAAGATGCCACCCTTGTGGGTTTTTGATGACCTTTCATGATTATTGTCAGATGGGCTGATTTAAAGCACTAATACAGGGCAGGGTATGCAGGGAGAATTTTTGATTTTTCCATCTCTATCTGGTTTAAGTGCCTATTAAGGCTGCTGCTAAGTGCTGCATCCATTCTTTTTCCCTTCCTCCTGTGGCACCAGTCCTTTCCTCTATCCTCAGCACTTACCACCAGGTTTTCCTTCGCTTGCTCTCTCAGCCTTTTCCATGGCACCATTCCCAGCTTTCTAAGCAAAACCTTCTCATAGTGATCTCTGGCCTTTTTTTGGAGCTGCTGCTCTTTCTCCTGCCTCCTCTGCTTCTCCACCTCTTTCTATGATAAAAGAGCAGTAATTTTAATTCACTCTGGATGAAGAGTATGTTAAACAATGACAACAGACTGTCATATTGGAGCTGGAGGTCCTGATCTGACAAGAAAAAGGGATCTGCATCATCTTTAGCAGTGCAGACCAGACATGACCCTATGTATTAGAACCTGTGGTAGAAAGCAGAAGTCTGTCTAGAAGATTCATCGTGGAAGATGATGGTATTTCTGGACGTTTCCTTGGGCCATGTTATCGGCATGTGGCCTTCCCTCAGCACTGCAGTTTGGTGTTACTGCAGCAGACCTATGTGGGTACCAGCAGTGCTGATGTAGCAGGAACCTCCTTTTGATGGGCCTTTATCAATGTGGGGAGGGGAGCTTTGGTGAGCTCAAGGACAGCAGCTTTCTACATTTATAAAACTAGATTGAAAATGTGTCCAAAAATGATTCTGAGTTTACACACAGGCCTTATCACTTAAACTAACCTAAACAATAGGGGAAGGATGTGGTATTATATAATTGTACAATATTACTTTTGGCTGACTCAGGGATGAAGGTCAAACATCCTAAATCACTCAATCCCAGTAGAACAGTAGTTAAAATTCCTGTAGGATTTCAGATGTGCTATCTGGGTTATTAGCACAGCTCACTTCCAAATAATACTGAAGTGGGGCTATTCCTAGGCTAGCTCCAAGGAGAAGATGCTTCTGTTCTTCAGGTGGAAAGTCATCCTTGATGTAGTCAGGCTTGTTTACTTTTAAATCATGTGTGTGTGTGACTGGTATTGTTGTGTATGCTGGAGGGGGGAGCCAAGTGGAAGGAGCAGTTTAAAAGTACACTGGACATGCTGCCCCTGTTGGGGCTTACATGGTGATACCTCAGCAGTGAATGTCCACCAGCTGAGACCTCTGGTCCTGCTGATGAGACAGAAACAGTGTGTACTTCACAGTGTGTTCAGCCCACAGCCCTGCCCCTAACGTTGCCAAAAAGGTGGTGAGTCTACGTAGCAGGTGCTTTGCTGTGGAACTCTGCACTACTCATGAAGACCTTCAGTTCACGTTACTCTGGCTGCTGACTGAGTGCTAGTGGGTAAGGGCTCTTCTTCCCTATCCCTGCTAAAGGGGAAGGAAACAGATGAGGTGTTTGGTCACCAGCTTCTGCTGCCTTCTCTCCTCTCGTCGTTTTTGCTGCTGGGCTTCCTTTTCCTCAGCCTCCTTCCTCTGTCGTGCTTCCTCTTCAGCCTTCAGCTGGGCCTTGAAATGGAAGAAGGTTAAAATTTAATTTGGCATGTGTGACATTTTTGGAAAGCACAGACCTCTAAGCTTTCCCAGTATTCCTCTAGTATTGACCAGCACCTGAAACTTCAGAAGGAAGTAGACTTTGTCACCTATGAGACATGATCTGCTGGGCAATGAACTGTGGAAGGGAAAAGAAGGAGGGACTGTTCTTTCTACTACCCATATATATATATATGTCTTTCTACTACCTATAAATATATATATATATATATATATATATATATTCGTCATAGAATTTGCCCACTCTTCTCCTAAAAAATTTAAACCATACACCAAGTTATTTATTGATAACCTGATTGCTGAAGTCAGTTCTGAATCCCTGGGCACTGCTCTGAAGTTTTACTTCTACATGCAAAGCAGCATTACAGGTGCCCAAACATTTCTGATCAAAGTTGTTTTACTTCAGTACTGGTCATACTTGGCACAATATCCTTCTCTGAATGTTTATCTCCTCCCCTTGCAAACCCCACTCTACTTTCATTTCACAAAGCTTTTGCTCTTGATCAAAGGCCTAAAGCCCACACCAACCATAACATGTGATTGCTAGGACTGTGCTTCCTGATCTCTACAATCGTGGCAACTGCAACTGAGAAAACCAAACCGGGTGCTTGTCTGTCTATTCTGTGGTTAAAGTGTTCTCTAAGGCTCGTTTCAGCCTCCTGTGTATGTGAGTGCACCTGTCTTGGTTGAAAGAGGAAATGCTGGTTGCATTAGGACCCCATTCTGAGTTTTCTAATCCTAATGCAACTTACTGTTAATGTTTTCAGTAAGATCTTAACACCCAGGCACTAAAGCAGCTCCTCTGTTGGATGTGCATCACAAAATTTGCGTATTAACTATGCAAACATTGTCAGTAGTATCTTTCCTCTTTGGCAGAGATTTGCTAGGAAGATTTTTACTAGATGAAACTGCACATCCTCAAGCTGCATGTGACCAGGCAGGAAAGGCAGGGGAGGGGAAACCCACCATTGCCAGGTCCAATCAAATGGATCTTGCAGGCACTGCCAGCCTTCCCATCCTGGGGTAGGTGTGAAAAAAGTGCTGGGGGTGGTTAGGAGGCTGCTTCTAAATTGCAGCTGCATCAACATGAAGTGTCTGCCTGTGATATAGCAGGGCTAGTGCAGTCCCTGTGTGCAAATGCAGTAGTAACTGCTTCTTTTGATGTGTGCTGGCTATCTGCTTTCTCACAAGCTGGTTTCAATAAAGGGCCTTTTCTTGGTCCCTGACTCTGGGGTTAAAACAGCATTTCTTGTAACTGGAATGGTGTGAAAGAGACTTTATTTCATTTTCCACTTCCCTCACCAATTTCTCCTCTTCTCTTCGTTGTTTGGCTTCTTCTAGTTTCCTCCTCCGTTCTGCCCGCTGAGTTGCTCTCTCCTCCATAGCTACAGAAACAGAGGACATAAGGCTCAGGGAGAATGAGCTGTAGGATAATGGCAGAAGTTTGCTGAATAAGGATGATCAGTACTGCCAGGCCCCCTATTGACCTGGCAATGCCAGCACAAAGGGACTTGCTTTCTGCTGCCTCTTAGGGCTGGCAGTGTCAGGAACAAGGAACCCATAAACTTTTATGAGATGACTCAGGACTGCCCTGATTAGATTCACACCACTCTCCTTGGTTGACAGTCACAGCCATGAGGCTCAGGTATGAAAGGAACTGTGTTCAGAGGTTTTATCCCTGTCTCCCCTGATTGAGTGCTGAGGCTCAGGGCACCTGATTCAACAGCAATTCCTGTGAGGTCTCCAGGAAGCTCCAATTGGTTATTTAAAGAGCAACTTCGTGATGGAAAGCATCCCTGCCAGTGACACACAGGTACATGGTCCCACTAGTGAGAAACTACTGCTTAATGCTTTTTTTGGGAGATAAATTGCAATGGGGTGATCTTGCTGTCTATCAGTGAAGGTGTTACAATGCTGACAGGACCACACAGAACGTGCAGTGGAGTTGAGAACTCACACTCGCTGCTTCTGAAGTCGCACAGGCTGAGCCATCTGGGGGGCACTGAAGTGTTTCAACCACAGTGGGTTTTCTCACATTTTTTTTTCTCAGCTGTCCCAGGATTCTCTGCCAATGGAAAATCATCCAGTGATAACTTATTCACTGAATTTTTTTGGATGTTCAAACAAATACACTTACTGTCTCTAAAGTGTACAGAGTTCAGGCAAATCAGAGTGAGTGATGGCTTGGACTAGGTATCATAGGAGCTGAACACAGTCAGTTAATGAAAAGCAACTATTAATGCCCAACTATCATGGCCAAAAAGCTCTGATGACTCCAAAACTGTTAATTGCAATACTATTCCAGACAACCCTTCATGCAGCCTGTGACCACCCACCGGTTGATATGGAAGAACATGACCATGGGACAGAGCAGAACCTGATCTTAATTTACTGCATGAAAAGGCTGTGCTGCACATTTAACGTGTATGTTCCAGTGTCGTCAGAGAAGGGGAGGTATCTCACAGATCCTTGGGTACTTGCTACCACAGTTTACTAAGCGTGGACTTGAGGGGCTTGCAGTGGCTCAGGTTTTACAGATGCTTGACTTGGTTGTGAAAACAGCTCACCCTCACAGCGCTGGCAGGCTGGGAAAGAGAGTGCTGAGAGTTTTACTTGCGTAATGTCATCAGACAGCAAGGCTGAGGCAAAGAAAGAGGGAAGTAGGTTGCACAGAGTGGGGATGAGCCTCTTTAACCAAGTAATAAGCAATAGAACAAGAGGGAATGGCCTCAAGTTGTTCCAGGGAAGGTTTAGACTGGCTCTTAGGAAGTATTTCTTTGTAGAAGGGGTTGTTGGGCGTTGGAATGGGCTGCCCAGGGCAGGGGGGGAGTCCCCATCCCTGGAGCGGTTGAAAAGTCGGGCTGACCCAGCGCTGAGGGATCTGGTGGAGCTGGGAACTGTTAATGTTGGGTTGATGATTGATCTTTTCCAATCTAGACAATTCTGTGATTCTGTGAAGTTTCCAAACAAGCTGTTGAGAAAAGTGTCTGGAACAGCCTTTGCAATCTAGAGCAATACCTTTCAGTATAGGATGAGCTGAGGTCAGCTGGCTAGAGGGCCTCCTGCTTTGCATCACTGCCCTTGTGTTTTCAGGCCCATGAGAAACAGGTGGACTGTGAAAGGAAAGAGTAAAGAAATTCATCACTGAATGTGGTCAAATGAGGTCAAATTGTGTGAGAAAGAAAATTATGTCTTTCTCAAGGCTGAGAAACAGGCCTTGTAGTTTCTGTTCTCCATTGTGCTGCATTTTCATCCTGAACCCCTGATACACCTTTCTCCTGCTTGAGATGGGATTAATGATTCATCCTTGTGAAGCAGCCAAGTACTCGGGGCTGCTGCCTGTTCTGAAACACCGAGGGTGACACTCTCTTTGTTCCTAACTAAATAAATCCCTGCTGGTACTGTGTGTGACGCTCTAAGTGAATCCTGTATGGATCACACGGTGTCGAGCCACTGCAGAGAGAAGGATGGAGAACTGTGGCCAGCCTGATATTACCCTTGAGGCTAAGTCACAGGTGAGAGGAAGAGCAGATAGTGCCAGCATGACTGAAGTGTGCCTGGCATATTCTGGCTCCACTTGAGTAGAAATGAGACACGCTGACTAATTGAGCCTACTTTATCAAAGGTATATACCTCAAATGGGTTGTATTCTTGCATCTGGATTGTTTTTCCTTCTTTGGTTTTTCCTCCCTGGTTTGTGAAGCAGAGCTGTTAAGTGGCTGTGCTTGTGCTGCCTCTTCTTTAGTTCTTCTCAGCCTCTGATTTTCCTGCAGTTCAAGGATCAGCTCTTGCTGTTTCCGAAGCTGCTGCCTCTGCTCCTCAATCAGACATTGCTGTAAGGCATAACGGTGCTCAAAGTGTCTACCATACACAGGAGCTGTCTTTGGACCAGGTGCCTGAAACTGCTGGGGGGCAGTGGCTGTTTGATTCCTGCACACAGCCTGGTCCTGGGCACTCAGGGCTCCATGTTTTAGGGTCATCTCCCAGGCAAATTTGGATTTTCTGTAGGAATGAGACGTATGAGCAGCATCCCAACAAGAGTGGTCTCTGGTCTGGTCAGGTTCTTTCTGTATGAGGCAAGTTTCAGTTGGCTAGGGGGGAAAAAAAAAATACAAAGAAATGAGGAAAATTTGGCATTGATTAAAACCAAGCACTCCTCTGCCCCTCCTACATAGTTAAGTGCTTCTTTAATACAAATCTAGTAAAATGCCTGAGAAGTAGGATAATCTCAGCTATATAATTTTGATCCAGTTCCTAGCCAGGGCAGAGGGGCCGTTATGCACAAAATGGGAGGCTGTGGGAAAGAACTGTTAAAGAGCTGTGTGCCGTTTCATAGGGAGGAAGAAATCCTGATCAGGCAAGAGCTCTGGCAGGAATATATCCTGACTATTTTGTTAGGGAGGACAGCTTGTTTCTCAGGGGTTAGCTCATCTCTTGGGGAATTAGCACACTCCCTTTTGGACTGTGTTGCCCCCACTCAGTGCTCAGAGAATAAAGGAAAAAACAGTTATTGAAGTGATCTACATGGCTGATCTACTGGACAGTCCCTTTTCAGATGGAAGAGAATTCTATAGGGTGCTGCTTCCTCATGTCTCTTCTCCATCTTTGATAAGTATTATCATGAAACTGATGCACAGTGAGGAATGAAGCTGTACCTTTTCTGACACAGGGTCTTTCTCTGGAGAGGCATCAGATGTAAGGTCTGCTGCCTGATTCCTAGGTCAAATCCCAAATTCAGTCCAATACTTTCAGCACAAATTTTCCCAGTACATTAGAAAAAAAATACAGGCCTACTAGGATGATATAAGCACCATAGGAAATCAACTTTTGCTGACACTTAAGCAGACAATAAGCTTGACCTGTAATATGTGTGTGTGAGCTCTCATGCTGGGATCAGGACACTGCTGTGGTCCAAGTTTTATAGACAGAAAGGGCAGGCTCTGACCTGATAAATGACAGTTTAAGGAAAGCAACCTCTGATTCTCCTCTCCTACCTCTTTGTGATGTGCATTATCCTGAAGCAGCCAGTGATGACTTTTTTTCCCCATGCATAAAAGTCAGAGAGCTGCACTGGCATGACAAAATCTCTTGTCATGCAGTCAAGCGTTATTCTTTTTTAGTCTAAGCAGGCATCAAAGATGTAACTAATCTCTCAGTAAAAGTGATCTGGGGGTGGGACACTAATTGCGACTCACACTGCATGAAAGGTTGCTCCCTGGCAGCATTAGAGATTATTTTTAAAACTCATCCATTGTCCTTCATGTTTGACTCTGAATTTTAAAGACTTCTCAACAGCTGCAGGCAGGCATTTGGGGGTCACCCTGGGAAAGATTCCTCTGGGATAACATACTCTTTATTTCAGATCGCACAAAAGAAGTACTTTGTAGGGGTACTGAGATGCCAAAAGACAAAACTACACGGGAAGGATTTACCTTGTCCTGCTGCAAATCTTGGCGATCGTTTACTTCTGCTGTCCCAGGCTTGTTCACTTCCAGCAGCCTGCCTGTAGTACCCTTCCCCAGTGCCACTGTCTCCAGCAGCTGTGCCATCTTCCTCTTCATCTCCTCCCTCCTGATCTGCAGCTCTCGTTTTTCCATCTCCACTTGGCTCCAGCGCTGCCACGCCAGAAAGCAGCAGCGCAGAAGCCGTCGCTGGTTGTGCTCCACAGACAGTTGTGTCTTCCTGAATGGGAAAGCATTTATGTTGTGACAGGAGTGAGGCTTCTGCCTGAAACAACTGCATCAAGTACAGCAGCCCAGGCCATGGCATAAGGCCCCATAACTTCCTGAGTATTTTTGTCACTTAATTCTGAAGGCCATACAAAGCTGTACAGAGTTTCTCCAAGGAGGAGTGAGAGGGCAGAAGGGATGCCCGTTATTTTGCAGTAAGTTTCCCTAGTTCACATTTTTCTGTGTCATCCTCGGGCTGCAGGATAGGTGCAGAAGAGTTATCCTGTTCCCTTGCCAGCTGCAGAGGGGGAAGCAGCAGTGTCTTACCACACAGCCTGCCAGACACCTGCAAGAACAAAATTTTCTCTGGCTGATAGGGAGTCCATCCAATAGCCTCCTTAATGAAAGGCACTGGCCAAAATGATCTCTGCTGTACAACTACTGAAATAGGAAATAACTATATTAATCAGGAATAAATATAGCACCTCATATTCTCTGGGCTCCAGAGCGAGCCAGGGTGAGATTTCCATGAAAGATGCCTATTGAGAGAGGCAGGCTTGTTGGGCAGTGCTAAATTTCTTGTTTATCTCTGTCCTCCTTTTCATCTGTGCCACAACACCTCTAGCAGACCACAGGCAATTTTCTCAGAAAGCTCCTTTTCTCCTGCTGGCTAACTGGCAAGCCCCTTTTACTGTTCCTGATCACTGTGCTGCCCAAGTACTGCTGCAGCGGGGGGAATTCCACACGGTAGGGTCACTACCTGTTTTGATCTTGGAGATGAACTTCAAACTGCTGTGTCTCCTGCTCTACTTTCTGGGCCCAAGCATAGTTTCTCCAGGCTCGCAGGGCCTTCAGTTGGCATTTCCAGTCAGCAAGGGCTCTGGCTTTTCCCATTTTAATTCTGTGCTCCAGAATGACTTTCAGCCAAGCAGAGAAATGTCGTTGCATACACTACAAAGGGAGAGTTTCAGTAAACCAGTGAGCAAGATACAGCCCGTCACACAAATGCTGATACTCTCCACCCTTCTCCTCATCTGACTTTCCTTTTTGAGACTCTTTTTAGAATCCCCACTTTCAGCAATTATCTTGAGGGTAAAAAAAAAACAACAAAAACAATGCAGAGCATGTTCAGGTCTTCTATAAAAAGCAGAAAGGGACTAGAAAGATAACATCATGGGGCTCTATGCTTTTCAGTGAAGTATAAAGGAATAAAATGGGTGAGGAACACAGACTTTCCAGAGACAGGAAAGACATTTCAAAATCTAGATGTCTAAGATGCTACAGGTAAGAACACTTCTGTGGAAAGGAGTTCACAAATATTGCCAGGGACCACTTGTGGTTTTTGTTTTTTTTAACTTAGACAAAAATCAAGACACTTCCGAGAGTGAATTTATGACACAACTGACATCTGGATTCCTACTGGAAGGAGGGTGAGCCTTTTCCCTATTGTGTAATTAGACTCGCTGCCTCTGGGAGTGATTTACATTGCACAGAACAGCAATTTGCTGTCTAATCTACCCTGTAATTCTCGCCCTGTCAATGCAGACACTGTTCATTTTGATCCTCCAAGTGGCTCAACTCACAGGACTCAGCTGTTCCCCTTTTGTCATAATGCCTTGTTTTAATTGCATTCCTCTCACTCACTGAAATCTCCAAATGGAGACATACAAAAAGGACAAACTATCAATGTATTAGCCATTTCTTTCTGCGTAACGAAAATAATCAAAGTGTCACTATTGCTTAGCTCAGCTAAGCTGTGACTTCTCACATTATTCCAGTCCTAAATTATTCTGTGGTTTCACTCAGGCTTATCTTCACAGTTTAGACTGTGCTGGAGAGAGGTTGTGTACTGTTAAACAGTAGCCAAGCTCAAATCCAGCAGACAGAGAGATGAAGTGAGCCATGGGGAGAATCAGCATAAAAGCTATGGGATTCTTCTAAAAAAAATATTAAATAATTCTAGATATCTCTATCTAGACAATAACAATGATGACTGCTCTATTAATTAAAAACATTATGTGATGGATGGCATTCATACCTGCACTCAGGGAAATGTATTCCCTTTGCTGAGACTGCCCATATAAAATTATTCAGTACAAAAAGATTGCTCTTTAATTGCAAATATTTGATATAACTGTTTAACCCAGAGCTGACCACGGTATCAGAGTAATGAGGATAAAAGAAATAGGTTCCTACTAGGAATCATTAAAGTCTGCACATTTGCCTCAAAAGAGCTGTTGCAGTATCTCAGAATATCCTACTGCACCCAGTGGAAGTGGATCCTTGGGGAACCCATTACTGTGGATGTGCTGGGAAGCTTCAACTCTTGAAGACCCAGCTCAAGACTTGCCCCAGGCCCCAGCACTTCTCTTTCTGCTCCCTGCTCCTGCACCAGGGTCTGCAAGGCAATCTTTAAAAGATCTTCCCATACACCCAGTAAGGGCTTCTCAGTACCTTTTGTGTCATTTCCCCCCTTTTTCCTTCCTCAAGGGAAACAAACCTTGCTCCACTGCCTCCTTGTATATCTGCCTATTTCTCAATTGCAGAAGCCTTTATTTTCACAGCTGTCCTGATAGCCACATCTTTTCCACAATTCTAAGAGAAACCTCACCCTGAGTACACTACACTTGAGGCACAGACATGCTGAGGATGGAAGCTCAGGATTTCTTACTCCTAGTTTTACAATACACTTTTTGCCCTGCTCTTCTACATTCCTGGTATCAGGAAGGGGGCTTGGAAGAAGTAAAAAATCCTGATAACCAGGACTTTTTAATTCAGTTTTGCAAACGGTAGCTGAGGGCAAGGTAGTTCTGAGTCTCAGATAAAGAACGGTGATGCTCACTCTTTGCTTATTGGTGTGAATCCTGCGCAGCAGCTCCTGAGCCTTTCTCTGTTTCTCATCTCCTTGCTCTTCTTTCTTCAGGACCAGGGCTGGTGACACAGTAATAGATACCTCCTGCTTCTGACTTTTTTCTTGTCTCTTCTCCTCCCTGGAAAGTGAACAAACATGCAGATCTAATACGGTGAGGAAAGTACTGTAGCACAGATTTCACTCTCTTTTGGGCCAGCCCTAAGAGAGTCAACTCTACAGCTTAGTTGTTGATTATTTAACACAGCCTTCTTAGAAAACAGCCTCTGTTAGGGCTTGGGGTCCCAGAGATTAAACAGTCTGGAGCATTTCCAAAATATAGCAGGCAGAAGAAAATAGTAAGATTTCAGTAAAGCACTTGCAATGAGAAGATTCAGGATCCCAGGGCTGCCTAAGTAAATAAATGGCATCCCTACAAGTCACATCTCTGTGACAACCCAAGCTCAGCAGAAGCAAAAATCACATCTCTGCAGAATTCTCAGCCAAGAATGCTCTTTATTCTCTCATAGCAGAGGAACTATTATTGTAAGTGCTAGACTTTCATAGACTTTCAACACAGACTTTTTTTTTTTCTGGTGTACTGGCTTTCATGCTGCATTAGACATTAACAAGGCTGGATGTGGCCACAGATTCGATGGAGAGAATGGACGGTGGGGTGGTGCAAACATGCTGCTACTTTGTGATTCAGTGTACAAAGTGGTAATGGCCGAGGAGAGGCCACTAATGATAAACTCTGCTTTTGACGTTGGTAACAAAGGAATAAAAGGTTTGGGGGGAGTTTGGAGACAGAGGAAAAGCAGATGTTTCTAAGTGTTCTTCACATGGTTCTTTCTGTGCCCCCCTCTCCCTCTTACATTTTCCATGCTTCTGCCATGGTGTGCCTCTTCTCAGCCATTGCCTTTCGCATCTTCACCATTTCTCTCTGGATCTCCTCCTGCTCCTTTTTGGCCTTCAGGGCCTTCCTTCTGTCCTCCTTCTGTGCTTGGAGCCTGGCCTCAAACAGAGCTGATTTCTTCAGGGACTTTTCTTGTCTCTGAAGCTCTAATGCCTTTTGACGCCTCATTCGGTTTTCTTTCACCTGGGAAGGAGGAAATCAAGAGAAAGTCAAAGCAGATGCCAAAGGCTAAAGAATTGGAGGTTCACTGTACACAGACAGGGTGAGTCACAACCCACCTTTCACATGAAGTGAGAGACCCTATCCATAGCTGGCACTGACTGGACTGATTCTGCTCTCAGACCAGCAAAAAACTCCACTCAAGAGTGTGAGGTTAAACCAGTGTTACTTGATGGGAGCAAACTCAGAACTGACTGCCACGGTGGCTTTTCCTATCAGTCTTTGGAAAGGGGGAAAACCCAAACAGATGTAGTAAAAGTTGGCTGTGCAAGCTACTGTGAATGGCTAACATGCACATGGAAACACAGTAATGTTTCAGCTAAACTGTGGAAGAGTATCCTCAAGTCAGAGCCTCCAACTCAGAGATTATTGCAGGTTGGGAAAGAATACTGGGGAAGTATCACTGAGTATTTACTCTAATCCTATAATCCTCCATTTTATTCCTTTTAACTGCACTGCCTTGCCTGCTCACCTGCTTGTGTCTAAGCTCCATGATTATTCGTGGATCTGCAAGTTTTTTGTTTTCCTTGATGTCTTCAAGTCTAAGGTCTTCCATTATCCCACAGTTCACATCTTCACTCTGCAAAAGATGCTGTAGGTATTCTTGGACAGAAGAACCTTCTAATTCATGTTCCAGATAGCTGCACAAGTCTGAAATGAATAAACCCCTCTGTCTCAGATCACAAAGCCTAATGTAATTAAAGTGATCACTTTCCCAGACTGTGAATGCATTTCTGATAAAAGCAGACACACTGACTGCACTCCATTTATCCCCAAAGAGTCTTAATCAGTCTCCCATTGAACACACTAGAACAGTAACAACCTTTCACCCATGTTTTACTGCCTTGCCTCTGAGCATCTCAAACAGCTGTATAGATTTGACAGGCCTCACAAATACCCATAAACAAAAGAAATAAAATTCCTCTTTTACAAAGGGAGACATCGAATGGTGATGAGGTGCATTTGTGCAGCCCTACAGCAAGCTGTTGTGAGAGCTGGGGGACCATCACCTCTGATAGTGTTTCTCCCGAGCCCACTATCCTGGCCTGAAAGCAACTTTTACCTCTCAGTCTGCCTACCTATGAGGCCTGGCTCCCTTCCCCAGCACACCCTCAGAAAGGAAGTCAGAAAGTTTGTTGTGCTCTCACCATCAAACCGCTCATACTTCAGAGGGGCTGCCGAAGGCTTTTCCAGGACAGAGTCAACTTCCTCTTCTCCATTGCTTATCAGCTCTGGCTGCAGTTTGGACTTCATCCAGCTCCTGAGCAGCTCCTGGGCTATCATAAGGAAAGAGACTGATGATATCACTTGCTTAAAAAATATATGGGTAAGCATAAACTAGCAAGACTGTCTATGGGATAATTATATAGCATGCTGGGAAGGCTGTTTGAAATGAAAGCTGATCTGCAACAGAAAATGGAATAATGCTAATAGTTCTGCTCTCATCTTCTTGATTTATAAAAGAACAGGAAGAAAAGGTGGCGCTTTTTCCTCTGTCACATATGTCACAAATGAATTCTTCTCCACTTCATTTTTCCTACAAGATTCTGTGGACATTTAGACCACTTGTGTGATTATTACAGCATTTATTAAGGAGATGGAATCCACATGAGGTAATTCATAACTCAGATAGCTTTCATATGTTTTACCACTGCACTTGCAGACACAATTTTCCACACGTACAGCCAAGGTTGTTGTATATTAAATACAAAAAGAACCACTGTTTGGACAAATGTTTGCTTCGTATGTACAGGTTAACCTTTGCAAGTACCACAGCTCCAGGAACAACTGGTGAGTCTAGATTACAAATCTGTCAGGTGGCAAGCTTCACCAGGGACTACCTGTACTCAGAATTAAGACTGCAACTACAGGAATGCACCCATGATGGAATTGGTTCTCCTCAGTGAACTCAAATGCCTAATGAACAAGCGGGTACAAAGTCCTTCAGCAGACTTTATTTGCATCTCTGCTCTTCTGTGGAAAAACTAAAAAATTCCTTTTCCAGAGTCCCTGCTCAAAACCAAGAGCAGCTAACGTGGCTGCTGCCTCAACAAACCACCTAGCCTTGCCACATGGGTGGCCAAGCTGTTCCTGAAGCAGAACACAGGCATCAGGAGCAGCCCCACGAGCAGCTGAGCCATCTGTGCTATGAGGACAGGCAAAGAGCAGGGGTCTCAGCAGCCACTGCAGGGCAAGTCATCCCATGTCAAGGCACACAGGTGATAGACGGCGGAGCAGCTGCTCCAAATCTCTAGTTCTAACACAAAATGAAGATGCTCCCATTGAGTCCTGGTATTACTAAGGCAATAAAGCCTTTAAAAAACTTCATTATAAAGGTTTTTTTTGAAGAAAACATAAATCTGTTTATTGTCCTTCAAATCACTTTTGTTCTCTTTCATAATCTCTCAGGCCAGCTCAGGAACAAGGAAATATATCTGATAACAGAAGAGAGAAAAACAGCTTATCACTTGGGAAAAAGTTACTTATTTGACTGGGAAATGTGAGCTCCTCATAACTGGAGTAAAAGAGTTTGGTACTTCTCCTATCAATACCTTTCTTTGCAAAGTGGACTACATGTAGTTAGTACCATTAAGTATTTTAAAAATGGATTACAGATAAAAGACTTTCAATTGAGCTGGAAACAATCCTGAGGGATTGGTAGCTATAAAAAGGGAAACCCTAGCAGAGAAGAACAAACAAAAATAACAAAGAAATATGAGAAAAGCAAGCAACTTTTCCACCAACTGCAAAGACAGCTCCTTTTGAGGCACTCTGCTGTATGATGCATCCACAGTGAACTGTAAGCAGACAGGTGTATTCGGTGCTATTAGTTGAATCTCTGATGATTCCAAGTGAAAAAGCTTCCTGTATTGAAGCAGATGCCCTTGAGATGTTTGTTCACTCCACTCCTTAAGGCTCACTTTTGAGTCTTAAAAGAATGGTTAACTCAGTTTTTAAAACCCTGTCTCCTATCAGCTTTTTACATTGCAGATGTACTTCTAGTACTGATGGATGATAATTTCCTATTTATTTTTTTTAAAATGTTCCACAGTTTTATTTTCAAATTTCAGTAAGCACTTGTGGCTGCAGGCATTACAAAGGGAATATTTAGTTAGCTAATTAGCAAGGAAAATTTTGCATGGGAATCAAAGCTAAAGCACACAATTATTCGTAGATGTGAAAGTTACACAGAGCAGCTCCATTTTCACATCTGGCCTGCTATCAAAAATATGTCAGGTAATTTCATCTGGTTTATTATAGCCCGCTAACTTGCATTTCACCATACAGCGTGTCTTGAAGGGCAAAATTCATCCTCATTTTGACCTGAAATCTTCAGGAGACAGAGAGTTTATCTTTCTCTTAGCTATGCTAATTAAGATCTACCTTAAACTCCAGAATTTGATTCTTATGCCTTTCTCCATTAGATGAAAGAAATGTTACTATGAACGGTTTCTTACAGTCTCAAGCTTTGCAAAAGCCTGTTCAGACCAGAACCACAATGCTGGATCAAGAACAGTTTATTTTAGGCAGATGGTGGCAAGCAGTATTTCAGCTCACCTTCCTCACAGGCCTCATGATCTTGCAGCTGTTCCACTGTTTCCAAACTTGTCACAGGACCACGAGGCCCCTGTGGATAACTTGACTTCTGAAGGGAAAAAGCTTCAGAGACAGGATACTCAGAGGCTTGGTCCAGTTGCTTTAATTTAAAAAAAGGAAAACATTTCTAAGGATTGTTGGATATTAATTTTTAAACTTTCTATATCCAAGTTTGTTCTTCAGAGAGAGCAAACATCAGTAGGAATGTAACACAAGATAACATAGCTGTTAAAAGAAGCAATTTCTTTTGAAACACATTTCTCTGCTCAGTTAACTGGATAAATTTGACTTAGAAATCATTAAACAATAAACATTTATTTGGCAATTAGTGCCACAGTGACTGGAGAACATATAGGGAGAATGCAAACACCCAGACCCTGGGGGCTGGATGGAGACTTGCTGAGCTAGTCCCCAGCAACCACCAGCTATAAAACTCAGTATCAGCATGTTGTCATAACCAGGCTGATTTTCTGTCCCACATTCTCTCCGAGATGTGAACGGCCCTGGGGTATCACTATGTGTTTTCATATGTAACACCTGCCCCCCTGACAACCCGCATTTCTGCGGAACTTCCTTCCTTTGTGCTAGGGCAACCAGAGCTGCATCAGGAAGCAGATGCACACTCCAACCAGCTGTAAACACCAGGGCACCCAACGAATCAAAACAAAGGGAAATTCACCCTAGAATTCATTTTTCTTGATCTCAGGTGGTTGCAGATGCAGGAGATAGTGCTTTGGGGTAAATGTCTTGTTTTACTTGCCCATGCATACAACCTGCAGTAACTGCTCAATGCAAAGTCTTGGGCGACCCACGAGGTTTACACATAGCAAGAAGGTACCTTACTCTTAGCTAGTGACGTTACCTCACCTTGATCCAGCGTTCCAAGTTATCAAATTTCAGCTGGAAGCAAGAAAAAAAAAAATGTTGCAACCACCTGCCTCTTTTTGTTTTGTGTGGTTTTTTTTTTTTTTGAGGCAGTTTAACGCCGCCAAGCTCAGCACCCTTCACTTGAGCGCAGCACGGACTCCCTAGCCCTTAGCACGTCAAACGGCCGCTGCTGCAACCCACACACACCTGGGAAAACTGTTTTCCGAGCCTGACCCTGCTCCTAAAAGCGCCTAGGACCCCTCGGAGCCGTCTGGCTGGGCGGCAGCCCCTCTGCCCCACCGCCATTTTACCCGCTGGGGGCGTGGCAGGCGCGCGCAGCCCCCCATCCCAGAGGGCGCGCCCTGATTGGGCAGCGCTCGAACAACGGCGCGCCCCAGCGCTCCCCGCACCGCGTCCCGCCAGGCCCC